ACTTAGTCATTTCTTTTGAAGAACAGAATTTTTGAACCCTAAAAATTACGTTGTTTTTTTAGAGATGTAAAACTTGTGGACTCCTGAAAAGCATTTTGTATTTAAAATACATTTGTTAAAAGTTAAAAAAAATAATGTATTACCTGCCTGGAAGATGGGTTGGAAGGTCAGATATTGCATATATCATCAGGTGTGACTATGGGGAGTGGATGACAAGAGAAACAGAAATGGGGAGGAGCAGGCAATGAATAAAGCAGTAAAATAAAGCAGAGAATGTGCCTCTGAGGACCTAAAAAGAAGGGATGGGACAGTTAGGAGAGGACTGATGAAACACCCTTGCAGGTGTCTGCCTCCTACCTGGCACTGGGTCAAGCCCTTTTCCTAGGTCATCTATTTTATCATCACAACTGCCCAGTGAGATATTACCAGCCCCATTATACAGATGAAGGAGCTGAGATAAACCAGGAACCAGGGTAGGGCAGGAAGCAGATGGGAAAGTGTGACTTTCAGGTTGGAGGACTCCAGAGGGGCTGGCTGGAGGGCAAGTGGCTTCAGAATTTACAGAGCAGAAGCTTCTCTATAGGAATCGGGGTAGAGCAGTGCTTCTCAGGGAATCCTGGAAGCCTGAGCCCAGGACATCTTGTGCCAGAAAGCAAGCAAGTGTTCAAGAAATGGCGGGATGCTGGCTTGTCCACATCCCAATATTCAGAACCTGCGAATATGTTGTCTTACATGTCAAAAGAGTCTTTGCAGATGTGATTAAAGGAAGGATCTTAAAACAGGGAGATTATTCTGGATTATCTGGCTGGATCCATTGTCATCACAAGGGTCCTTAAAAGACAAAAAAGAGTGGCAGAAGAGTCAGAGAGATATTTAAACATGATGTGGTGCTGACTTTGAAGGTGGAGGAAGGAGTCATGAGCCACAGACTGTGTGGCTCTAAAAGGCAAAAAAAACAGTTGTCTTCTAGAACTTCCAGAAGGAACAGAGTCTGCTAACACTTTGACTTTAACCCAGTGAAACCCCTTTTGGACTTCCAAACTTCCAAACTAAAATATTCCATACCATCTTATGGATAAACCTAAATGGGCTTTTTTGCCAACCCAATAATAAAATTGTGCTTTTGTAAGCCACTAAGCTGGAGAAGGCAATGGCAACACACTCCAGTACTCTTGCCTGGAAAATCCCATGAACGAAGGAGCCTGGTGGGCTGCAGTCCATGGGGTCGCTAAGAGTTGGACACGACTGAGCGACTGCACTTTCACTTTTCACTTTCATGCATTGGAGAAGGAAATGGCAACCCACTCCAGTGTTCTTGCCTGGAGAATCCCAGGGACGGGGGAGCCTGGTGGGCTGCTGTCTATGGGGTTGCACAGAGTCAGACACGACTGAAACGACTTAGCAGCAGCAGCAAGCCACTAAGCTTGTGGTAACATGTTATAGCAGCAATGAGATACTAACACACATCACCCCTGTAGCCTTCTGGGTTCAATCCCTGGGTTGGAAAGATCCTCTGGAGAGGGGATAGGCTACCCACTCCAGTATTCTGGCCTGGAGAATTCCATGGACTCCATGGGGACTCAGAGTCAGACAGATTAAAGGAAACCAGAGACATCTGAGCAAAACACAGCTCTGGATTTGATTCTGGCCTGGAGGGAAAACGGCCCTAAATGACGTTGTGGGGACGATTGGCAAAGTGTACATGTGAGCCATGAATGAAGTCACAGAGCTGCACTGATGTTACATGGGCAATTTTGGAAACTGTACTGTGGGTACACAAGAGAAAGTCTGTTCTTAGGGAATACATCGAGATATTTAGGATTGAAGAGCCACAGTGTCTGCAACCTAATTTCCAGCAGTTACAAAAAAAAAAAAAAAATCACTCTCTTTCTATACCTTATAACCACATCTATTTGTCTATGTCTATTGTCTAGAGAGAGAAGGCAAACATGCCAAATGTTACTGATCCCAGAACCTGAGTTACAAGGACATGAGAATTTTTTTTGGCCCAATTCTTGCAACTCCTCTGCAAGAAAACATGAGATCGTATCAAAAGGAAAAAGACAGGAGACAGTTATCCCTTTCTGGTCTGGCTCAGGGGACTTCAGATGGGGGAATCTATCTTCAAACACGAGTGGTGAGTTCTGCTCAGCATCAGTGTTTGGAGAGGGGTTTTAGACTCACCAGAGATCACAGGCTAACTGAGGGTAGAGTGGTGCCTTTTTCAGAGATTCTGCAGAGAGCTGGTTGCGGAAGCACTGAATGTCCCAGGCAGGAGGCCAAAAGAGGAAGAAGGAGACCCTTCCAGCGGCTCCCTAACTGAGCAAGGAGGAAAAGATGAGGAGGAGAAAAAGGAGGGGAAAAGGAGGAGAAAAAAGGAGGGAGCGGGAGGGGAGAAGGCCCGTGCTGCCTGGGAGAGCAGGGGCAAACTGGGAGGTGAGGGCAGGGAGAACCCGAAAAAGAAGGGAAGACGGAAGTGGGGAAGTGGTTTCTGAGCCTTGAAGATGGCTTTAAGCAGTCTGTCTGTTACAGGGAAGGACATGATCTGACTCCTCGTTGGGTCTGTATCTCTCTTTGACCTTGGCTTCCCGTGGCTTTTGTTCACTTAGAGGATGGTGTCTATACATAACGGCCTGCCTTGGGGAGCCCTGCCCCTCCGCCTGAATGTTGCACCAAACTGCCTTTGTTCAGGAAGTCATCCTGACCCTGTCCACCCATGAACGATTGCAAGAAAGAAGAAATAGACTCATCCCCTCTCTGAGACTGGCCATTACAGGAGGTATTTGCAAGATTGACGGCCTTTTTATTTCATTTCCTCTCCTCTTCCTCCTCTGTGTTCTATAAAGACACTGGACTGATAAGACCCGGTAAGATGGTTATTATGAGATGCTAGGCTTCCATCTTCCATATTCCTTACCTTAACACCTTGTCACCCAATTCTTTGGCCTGTTTTGTGGCTAGCAGAGTGAACAGGGACTCAGTAACTTGCCCTCTACTGGAAGGAACGGGACTCTGGTCTGGAAAAGGCACAGGGTGGCTACTCCCTGAGCCTCAGGTAATGTTATGTCT